CCAAGAAGGGATTGTGGAGGTGAGTTCTGCTGTCTTCTCTAAAGCAGGCATTATCAAGGGTCCAAAAGAAGCCCGCTCAGTTCTGATTGTAGTTTACCAGTCACATTACCCATAGTGCCCAGCCTGGAAAGGATCGGAACAGCGCAGATTTGCTGCCTCAGAGTCTGTGCTGACTCGTGGTGACCCCACGTAATACACAGCAGGACTGCCCGTATGGTTTTCTTGGCTGCAGCCCTCACAGAAGTAGAGCGCGAGGGCTTTCTCCCATGGTGCTGCTGGGCACAGTCAACCTTTAGGTGAGCAGCTGAGAGGCAAATCGCTTGCACCACCCAGAGGTCTTCTCTAGACACTGCTGCAACTAAAAGGAGGCAGGAAGGGATGTTGTTGTTGTTGTTAAATGCCTTGAAGTTGGTTCTGACTTGTAGCGAACCTGAACAGGGTTCCCAAGGAGTGGCTGGTGAACTTGAACCACCAACCTTGTGGTTCATGCCGACCATGTAGTCCAGTGCTTTATCCCACAGCACCACAAGAACTAACTGAAACTGCTGTCCAGTCATTCCGTCATTCACATTGACATTTCACAACAACCAGGCACTGTTCGAGTCAATCCCGACTCACAGGGACCCTGCAGGGCAGAGGAGAACTGCCCCAGAGCGTTTCCTACACTCTCATCTTTACTGGAGTAGATTGCTAGCTCAGTCAAGGTCTTTGCAGCAAGTATGAGAGTGAATGCCAACAATAGGCCATAAAGAAACCCAACTCACTGCTAGCCCAGGAGGCATCAAGGCAAGTGGCTGGGTCCTCTCAGCGCAGATCCTCTCCCAAGACTAAGACACAATGGAAATCCACGCTCTGATAGGTGACCACGCACGTCACCCATAAAGGGAAGTGGCCGAAGAACACAATGAACTGACGAACTAAGCCCTGCATTGTTCTGCAGACTACTGCGAACCCGGGTGGGGACTCGGTTGGTCAGCAGAGAGGCAGAACCAAGGGACCCATGGGCTCAAAGTCAGTGACACAGCCACAGAGGACTAGAGCGGAGAGCGGAGAGACCAGCTGATAAGAAGAGGGCAGACAAATGCAAGAACACGCACACTTGCAGATGATACCCACATGACCTGGCTTCAATGACTGGATGAACAGAGCTCAACCTGAGGAAGAAAGAAGAGGAAAAAGGGGAGAAAAAAAAAAGAAAAACAAAGTGTCATCTGATACAAATTGATAAACTGGACCTACACCTATAACTGTAGTAGCTCAAAAGAGGAAAAATTTCCCAGCTACAAGAATAATCCCACCCTCTTCACACAGAGTGGAAAGGGATGGGCAACGTGAACACTGGTTACTCAAAATGGGGGGAGGGATGCAAAGATAAGAAGTGACTGGCTTACAAGCTTTCAAGAGGGAACCTAGAGCCACAGGGCGGGGAGGACAGTGGAGTCTCCAGAGAACAGTACCCAACCTGTCTAGGAAAGGCTGATGAAAAGAAATGCAGACGGTCTCATGTGATGCAATGGTGAAAACTGTTAGCAGGACTGATTGTGAGGACTGGAAATGTAAAGGTGGATATCTTATAGCAAGGAGGGGAGTGACTAACCTTTCAGTCTAGGAGCGGAGGGCCCTTGGGACCATCAACGGAGAAGAATGGAGAGAGGGACCCCACCCAGAGAAGTAGTGAGGCCTGATATGAAGACAGAGAGGACAACGTGAAGAGATGGAGTGCCTATGGAGACCCAGAGAGGGAAAGGGGCTGGGTGCTGAGGACCGGGTAGGGGTGGGGGTGGAGGGACATGCAAGGTATACCCTTTCATTGGGGGACGATGCATGGACGGGAGGGTAACTAAGGCAATGAAATGATATAGGACAGAATGATTGTAAAACTAATGTTCCCCCATGTAAACTATCACTAAATACACAATAAAACATTCCAAAAAAGAAACCCAACTCACTGCGCTCAAGCCGATTCTGACTCATAGTGACCCTGTAAAGTCGCAAAGAAGGAGACACAGCCAGACACCTGAAGTATGTGGAGATACAGGAAAGGTGGAGGTGGCATGAATGCTGTCTACAATAGTCAAGAGTTTGTGTCTTTGATGTGACCCTTACCAGGGCCCCCTCTGATCCCGGGAGAAGTGTTATAACCTTTCCAAGCCTCAGGTCCCACACCTATCAAAATGAGATTCCACACCCAGAACCACGAGGGGCTTGCCGGAATTCAATGGACTAACAACCAACTGGATGAAACTGTTGGCCCAATGTAGTGCCTGGTTAAGGATCCCTGGCATTTCAAGCCCACCAGCGGCTCTTCAGAAGAAAGATGAGGCTTTCTGCTCCTATAAAGATTGAGAGCCTCAGAAATCCTATACAGGGCCGCTATGAGTCGGAACCAACAAATGGCATTTAACATGAACAGCAGAACTTCAGAGGGTGGATGTGAAAATTCAGTGCAGACTTACAAAAAAAGCACTTAGCTCAGCATCTCCCACATGGTGAGCCTCCAGGAGTCTGAACTCTTGTACTTATTTCCCTCCTTCTTTAAAGGCCCTGCTAGCTTTCATACATCCTACCCACAAACCTTTCCTGGGTCCCAGGCATGGCGTCTGGCTCTGGGGCATCTGGAACAAGAAAGGCATCAACTGCCCCTGGAGTGAAGGGGGCTGTTCTCTGCCTCCTGCCTCCTGGCTACAGACAGACCTTGGAGACATTGTGGGTTCCAGACCACCCCAATAAAGCAAATAACACAATAAAGTCAGTTACACGAATGTTTTGGTTTGGTTCCCCCATTGAATATAAAATTTAAGTTTGCACTAGAGTCTAGTCTAATCACCCCGGAGTCCTGGAGTGGCACTGTGGGTTAATGAGCTGGACTGCAAGGTCAGTTTGAACCCTAAGGTTGATGGTTCGAGTTCACCAGCCACATCTCGGAATTCCTATACAGGGTCGCTATGAGTCGAAACCGACTTGATGACGCTTAACAACAACTCACCTATTCAACGTACAATGTCAATATGAAAAAGTTTGAAATCATGTGAGAGAGACTCAAATAGACACAGACACACAGGGTGAGCACACGTTGTTAGGAGACTTGCTGGACATGGGGTTGCCACCAACCTCCAATTTGTTTTTTTAAAAACACACACAGACAACACAACACGCTCTAACAAAGTCTGCCTGCATTTGTTTGGAATCACTCAGCAGATACCTACTACCCTTGCCCCCACCCCTGCAGAGCACTTGTCATTGGCACAGGGCAAGCACATAGGTGTCTGTGTGGTGGCATCGACTCTCCTTCCACATTCAGCGCCATCTCCACATCTCCCCCATGCTGGCGTGCGGCTTGTCACTCTGAAATGTAACTGCCTATAATCTCTCTTCCCCACTACACCCTGAGCTCCTGGAGTGTGGGCTCAGTCACCAGCCCTCTCCAGTGCCCAGCATGGTGCCTGGCACACTGTTTGTTGAGTGGATGCTCAATTGCACAATGTCACAGGTGGTACAGGGAAGCCCTGCCTCCTGGGTTGATCTGCATCCCTTCTTCCAGTCCTTGTCAGTGGCCTGGCCCAGCTGTTGGGAGAAGGCCATTAGGACGAGCAGACAGACCAGGGCTGCTCCTCCATCCCACCCCTCCCCTCCATCAACCCCAGACTCACTGAGAAGCTGCCGGCTAGAGTCACTGACGGTCACGTTCTCCTGCCAGAAGGGATTCATCAGCGGCAGGCAGGGACTCCGGACTGGACAGGTGGAAAAACCAATGAGCTGCAACCCCACAGTTTCAGCCCCCAGCCCCCTGCTTCGCCCCATCTCAGATGCTCCACCTGGGATAGGTGTGGGCAGAGCTGACTGACTATGCGCATCTCAGAAGGGGGGGGGACCAGGAGAGTGTCACCACCACCACCCCCCCACCTCCTCCCACATCAGACCACAGTATCTTTAGAAATGTTTAGTCTCCGTTTTAAATGTAGAGTTGTTATTGTTAAGTATCATAGAGTTCCTCGCATTCCAATTCATAGCGACCCTGTATAGGGTTTCCAAGGAGCAGTTGGTAGGTTTGAACCACCGACTTTGGGATTAGCAGTCTAGTGCTTATCCTACAGTGTGATAAATATAGTAAAGTATTTAAATGTAATCATTCTTAGATTTTTTGAGTACTAACAACAAAATGGAGTCCTGGCATGACACCGTGGGTTAATGTGCCAGACTGCAAAGCTATTTGAGTCAGCAGTTCAAGGTCACCAGCCACTCCTCGGAAACCCCATACAGGGTCGTTATGGGTCGGAATTGAAAAGACACTTAGCAACAACAATAAAATACTTTTGTAAAATCTTTCTATACTGAATTACATTATTGTTAACAACATTATTAGTAATTGAGGTATAGAAGGTTTTATTTATTTTTTTTTTCTCTTTCTTTTCCTTTTAATTAACATTCTAGTCTCAAAAATACTACTAAGCACAATATTGTAGCTAAAAGACCAGAAAATTGGTAAAACCAGTGACAGTCAAGATACCGGGCAGCAGGGCTGTGCAGATGAAACCTCAGGCATTGAAGGTCACTGTAATTGGCTAACAATGGCCGCTCTGACGGAGCTCACTGACAGGTTGGGAAGTAAAGAGCTTCGAGTTTTAGCCTGGAAGCTCTACTGACGGATGTAAGCGGAGCTGGGGATCCTCGTGTGGCGCTGTGGGCTAACGCACCGCACTGCAAAGTCGGCTGGGACCCAACCTATGTTGGTGGTTCAAGCACACTGGCTCCTTCGGAATCCTAAACAGGGTCTCTATGGGTCGGAACCGACTCCACAGCACTTCAAAATAACCACAAACTGAGCTAATGAAGAATATTTTTGTTATAATTATATTCTGTGTTGAAACTGCACAGAAATGTTATCTTCAGTCATTTTGGACAGTATCATCCCAAGCTGTCCTCACTCCCCAAGTGACGCCACGGCCCAGCACCACACTGTAGGTTTTGGCGCTTGGGGAAGGGATGCGCGCCAGGCAACAGGTCCTAGGCGAGCAGGGCACCGCACGACCACTGTCCAGGCTCCCGGTGCGCCCTTACCCCTGCCACACCCAGGCTCCCCTGGCACCCTTACCGCGGCAGGTCCGCCAGAGTCCGGAGTGAGAGCTCAGAGGTTCGGACTGGCTGAGGTTGGCGGCTCCCCCCGGATCCTGTGTCCCAGGGCCGCGGCGTTCCAGCCGCTCCGTGTCGATGATGTACCAGAAGTCCGTGCCGATGGCGGTCGCCAGCAGAAGGAAGCTAAGCGCTCCAGTGAGTACCGCCACGCCTGCCAGAGTGCCCAGGTGCACCCGCATCGCGGAGCTGGGGCCTCCCGCCGGCTCCCCGGGCCAAAGAGACGCCCTCGGCGCCTTCCCGAGCCCCCGGCGCCACGCGGACCTCCCTGCTCCGCCTCTCCGACCTCCACGTCCAGGGGCTGGACCTTCAACCCGGCTCCGCCCCTCAGAGCCTCACCTGCGTCTTCAAACCTGCATCTCCACTTCCAGACCCTCACTTCTCCCTCAAACCTGCAAACAATACGTCTAAGACCCCATCTCCCAGCCCTCAAACACCATCTCTACCCTCAGACCCCGCCACTTCTGCCTCCAGACGCCCACCTTGCCCTCAGACTTCCACCTCCACCTTCAGACCCTCACCTGTAACCACATCCCTCACCACCTGGCCCTCAAGACCCCAGCTCTTCCCTCAGATCCCACTCCCAGGGCGAACGGAACCCCTGACCTTTCAACTCCTACCTTTGTCCCAGGCCGTTCTCTTTCTATCTGTCCCTCCCTCACTTCCCGGAGACTTCCAGCGGCCCCTCACTCTGCCTGGTCTATACTACACCCTGGACTCTCCACTTGCAGCTGGTCCTGTCTTCCCGACAGCCCAGGGCCAGGCTCCTAGCACAAACACACCGGCAGCTGGAGGAAGGGGCGGCGCCCAGCCGAGAGCGCTGGATGTGGGCGGCTCCTCTGAAGGGAGGGTTACTAGGAAGAGCTCAGCCCCCTGACAGGGTGTGCCTATCATCTTCCACAGACCCTTGCCTTCCAGCCAGTGAGCTTTCCTCCCAAATCCATTTTATTTATCAGAAGTATCTGCCCTCATAATGAAAGGGCATCTCTGTGGGTCGCTGGACCATCTGGATTTGAGTGATCTCTCCGAATGACTTACACACACACACACACACACACACACACACACACCTCTGCTCACTGCAGCACTCTTCTCAACAGCCCAAAGGTGGGAACAACCCAGGTGCCCATCAGTGGATACACAAAATATGCACCATCCGCTTACAATAGACTAATGCTCAGTCATGAGGAGAAATCGAGTTCTGATGCGAGTCACAATGTGGAGGAACCTGGAAAAGACCAGGCGGAGTGAACTAAGCCAGTCACAAAAGGACAAGTGGTATGACCCCATACATACATGAAAGGCTTAGAATATGCAAATGCATAGAAACCAAAGTATATTTGTGGTTATCCCAGGTGTTGGTGGTGCCATGCAGTCGAGTCGGTTCCTACTCATAGCAATTGAGTATAGGGTTTCTGAGGCTGTAAATCTTTACAGGATCAGAAGTGTCATCTTTCTTCATGAAGTGGCTGGTGGATTCTAACTGTTGATCTTGCGGTTAATAGTCCAATTTGTAACCTACTATGCCACACGTAGTGGTTACGAATCGGGCTGCGAACCTTAGGGTCAGCGGTTCGAAACTACCAGCCGCTCCGCGGGAGAAAGATGAGGCTTTCTACTCCCGTAAAGATTTACACCCTCGGAAACCCTGTACAGGGTCGCTATGGGTCGGACCCGACTCGATGGCACTTAACAACAACAACAACATGCCACACGGGAATCATTACTAAAAAAAAAGCAGAGAGTTTCTGTTTATGGTGATGGGAAATTTGGCAACGGTTATGAGAGACAATTCAGTATGATTCGTGTAATCAATGTCACTGAATTGTACATGTGAATAATGTCAAATTGCTTGATGTTGTGAGCTATAGATAAATGGATAGAAGGATGGAAGGATGGATGAATGGTTAGAAGATGGAAGGATGGATGGAAGGATGAATGGATGGTTAGAAGGATGGATGGAAGGAAGGAAGGATGGATGGACGGATGGATGGATGGAAGAAGGATGGATGAATGGTTAGAAGAATGTAAGGATGGATGGAAGGAAGGAAGGGTGGATGGAAGGATGGATGGATGGAAAGTTGGGTAGATACATGCATATATGCATACATACATACATACATACATAGATGGCCGATCTTTTCCATAACCATCACTACTAATGGCTTTGCTTGCATTCCCATTGCACCATCACCATTATCTTCATTTGCACCATCATCCAAACAGTCCTGACCAACAACTTATCGATCAGATAAAGGTAGAATTCAGTAAAGTTGGCCCAAGGAGTCCTAGTGGTGTCTTTTTCTCTCTTCCCTTTCTCTCTGCCTCCCAGTTGTCTCCCCTCACTTGGCTTTACTTTGCAAGCAAGCTCTCATAAGTGTTGGGTCCACGGAGTTTAGCAAGTCCAATTAAGTGAATCGTTCTCTCTTACTGGCGCCATCCAGACTCTCAGAATTGAAGCACACTGGCCTGTTTTTGGTCGCAGTCTATCCCACTAACAGTCTCTGTGGTTTACCCCACTGCCGTCATGCATGGCAACCCTATCGGACAGAGAAGAATTGCTCCCTCATGTGTCCAAAGCTGTAAAGCCTTATGAGACCACAATACTTCATCTTTCTCCTGCAATACAGCTGGTAGGTTTGAACTGCTGACCTTGTGGTTAGCAATCCAATAAGTAACCCACATACTGTTGTATGCCTTACCTGGATCACCTGCCCACAGTTGGAACCAGGGCCCAAGGGATTGGTCCCACCATAGCCATTGTGAAAGAGAGGGTGGTGGCCACCAGATGAAGCAAAAAGAAATGCAGGACCCTCAGGTAAATTTGAATTTCAGACCACCGGTGAGTTTTTCTGTGTATCTGTAAGTATGTCCCATACAACATTTGGGATCTATTTACACACAAAAAGTATCCGTTGTTGATCTGAAATTCAAATTGAACTGCCAGTGTGTTGTGAGCTGCCATGGAGTCAATCACAGCTCATGGCGACCTTGTGCACAACAGAAGCCTCACAATCGTTGGATGTTTGAGGTCATTGTGGCAGCTACTGTATAAATCCATCTCAGGAAGGGTTTGCCTCACTTTGTGCTAAACCTAAATTTACCAAACAAGATGTCCTTTTCAAACACAGTTTTTCATGATGGAGCAAATTTATCTGAGAAAAAAAAAAGTATCTGAGCAGTCTACATTTTATCTGGCTCCCCAAAGGAAGATGGCGGTGCCATTATCTGAACCAGGGACAGGGAAGATGGGCAGTAAAGCCATCTACCCAGCAGTGTGTGCCTTCACTGGCCCCAGCTGGCCCCCTCCAGACTGCTCTGACGAGGTAACCTTGTAGGCTTTGATCATTGTGTTTTTCCAGAGGATTTTAATATCATTGGCCTGAATCATGCTCAGTCACTGTAGAAAAGAACAGAAAGTCATGTTTTTCAATGAATCCGGGAAGGAAAGAAGTACTTCCAACCCTGGGTCGGCGCGTTACTCACCAGTCAATGGAAGAGGCAGGAGAAAGCCTCAGGGAGCCTGAGTAGAAGAAACCAATCAAGCCAAGACATTGGGGTTAAAGCTACCCAGCTTAGGGGTCCTGGTGATGCAGTGGTTAAAGCCCCTCTGTACTCTGGAGAAAGATGTGGCAATCTGCTCCCGTAAAGATGAACAGCCTTGGAAGCCCTGTGGGGCACTCACTATGGTTGGAGCTTTTGTATTTTTGCTTTGTTTTGTTTTAGGCGTATGCTAGGCGTGATGTGGTGGGAAGGAACATTCAATGGGACTCCGGGGGCTGGTAGTGAGTCTTTAATCAACACCGCCTGGGCTGGGTGAGCCCTTGTTGGCACCTCTAGTTCCACAGCTGTGAAAGGTAGGAACTGGGACCCAGCAGCCCCAGAAGGGTGACGTGAAGACAGAATGAAAGGAGGGGTGTAAAAAGGCTTTGGGAACTTTGAGGTGTCACACAAATGTCAATATTATAATATGTAATATGTAGGTGGCACTCTCAGAAGGGTGGAGGAACTGTTCTGTAAGAATGTGAAGAGGAAACAGTTTTCAAAAGGAAGAGGCAGAATGGAGGCAGGAGGCAGGAAGAGAGCTTACCTTTCCTTATGAGGGGGCTCAGGGGATCAACCCACTGCCATCAAGTCCATTCTGACTCACAGCAACCCCAGCACAGAGGAGACCTGATCCCCAGGGTTCCAGGACTGTTCATCTTTCTCCTGAGAAGCATCTGGTGGGTTTGAACCACTGACCTTAGTGTTAGCAGCCCAGTGCCTAACCCACAGTACCACCAGGGCTTCTTAGGGTGTCATGTTGTTGCTAAGTGCAGTAGAATCGGTTCTGACTCACAGTGAGCCTATATAGGGTTTCTGAGGAAGAGTTGGTGGGTTTAAACCACCAACCTTATGGTTAGCAGTCCAGTGTTTATCCCACAGAGCCACCCTAGGATTCTTTGCACCAACCAGACTTGGATTTGACTCCCAGGGTCTTTCTCCTGCCAGCTCAGCTTCCTTATTAGTGTAGTGGATCTAATTCCATCTTCCACATGGAGTTGGCCAGGACATGGTGAGTGTTCCCTAAATATACAAATTCCCCTTTCAGTTCCCAGGCATACCTTTGAGGTGGCCAGGGTGTCTAACCCCATTCTAATCACAGACAGGACTGCTGAGCAACCCTTGGGCAGTGATTGAGTATCTACCCAAAGTCAGTGCCATCCCACCAAATCCTCACAACAACCCCACTAGATAGCTAGTATCACACTACAACATTAGCATCATCACACTAGATAGTACCACACCAGATCGTTAGCATCATCATACTAGATAGCCACAGTATCACACTACAACATTAGCATCATCATACTAGATAGTAACATACTAGATAGTACCACACCAGATCATTAGCATCATCACACTAGATAGTATCACACTAGATAGTATCACAATAGAACATTAGCATCATCACACTAGATAGTTAGTATCATACTAGATTGTTTGCATCATCACACTAGATAGTATCACACTAGATCATTAACATCATCACACTAGATAGTATCACCCTAGATCTTTGCACATCACACTAGACATTAACACACTAGATAGTATAACACTAAAGCATTAACATCATCGCACTAGATCGTTAGCATCACACCAGACACTAATACAGTAGATTGTTGGCATCATCACACTAGAC